CCGAGAGCTTCTCCGGCCTGGAGCCGAATCCGGCCCACCATCACCAGCCCTGCCGCATCCACCACGTACGCGTCGCTCTGGCCCAGGAGGCGTTGGGGCGGTTCCTACATTCCCCCAAGAAGGACCATTCGTGCAAGGAGCTCGGCGCCGGCCTCCAGGGGCGCCGCGTGCGGCTCAGAAATCCCCACGAGCTGCCGCAAACAGCTGGACCTGGGCTGGCACGGCGAGGCCTGTGCAGGATCGGGCCCTTGTCCACCCCTGTCCCCGAAGATCCTCCCTGGACAGCCCACGCTCCCGTGTGCTCTGTCCAGGCTAGTCTTACGGGCCCCAGACCAGGCACAGAGGCGTCCGCCCACGCCCGGGGAACCGGTCCATGCCGCACCACACCATCTACCCTGCTCCAGCTCCGAAGGGTCGGTCGAGAGTCCACCTGACCTTGGCTTAGCACCGTCAGCCGGAGAAAGGGCTCGTTTTCTCTCACGCTCACGGGAGCACGTGCGGGGAGCCCGTCGCGCCCTGCAGAGCCCCGAACTCCCCTCCGCTGTCTAACGTGGGACAGTCACAGGCAGCGTAAAGGCCTTTGCTGCTCCCGGCCCACGGTTTCCACCCCACGAGTGCAGCACCGGACCCTGCAGCCTGCACAAGCCTCACAACACGCCCAGAGCCGCGGGCAGGTGCTGGTCCCCTCTCGTGGGTGAGGAGCTGAGGCCCAGACCTGAGGAGCAGCTGCCCTGGTCCCTGGGGACGGTCACGCAGAAGCCTGCAGCAGAGCTCCTGCCAACTCCCGAGCAGCACGTGGTTTGTGCTCGCTGCCACGCAGCTGCTGGCCGCCCGTGCGCACAGCAGCCTCCAGACACCCCCAGCGGGCTGCTCCTGCTCCCACGCACGCCCCGCACCACGAGACAAAGCGGGCTCCGTCCGGCTGCCCATCGTGCGCAGAAACTTCCCCCGCAAGACTGAGCGCCGGATGCACCGCAGGAGCCCCTCTCTGCCGCCCCCAGCTCTCCGAAACCACGGCGCCGCCTGCCACGGCCACTTCCTCTGTCGGTGTCAACACTAAACGGCCTCCCTGTGTCTCAGTGTCTCTCACAGTTGGCACATCCGCTGCGCTTGAAACGTCCTCTTTCCTCCGCGGGGGTCTGCGTTCCCCCTCCCTGGGCAGCCTGGCGCTGGGTTACATCTGGGATCACAGAGGCGAAGGCAGCAGGATGCACCATCTTCTCCCAGGCAGACGTGCCTGCCCCCATCAACGGTCCTGCGGGAGAAGGCAGAGGCATGTCCCACGCTGAGCTGCCCCTCCTTGCAGCCTGGACGTGACGGACGTGCCATCCCCCGCGGCCTGCCCATAAATCCCTCCCGACCACCCAGGGAGGCAGGAGCCAGGCTGCGAGCGGGGAGAGGATGGGTCCAAGGGACCTGTGCTAGCCATCCTTCCCTGCTCTGCAGGGAACAGCCCGAAGAGTCCCTAGAGGTCCCCGACCCCTGCGCCAGGGAGGAGTTTGGGCAGCCTGCCTCCTTCAGCTCTGGGAGAGGCGTCGGGGCTAGGGCCAGGCCTGGCAGCTTCCTCTGCCCAGAGCCAGCCGGGATCTGTGCAAGGCCAGGCTCGCAGGGCTCCCTTCAGCAAGCGGAGAGGGCCCTGCCCTGCTGCTCCCCACTGCCCTGCAGGGCTCCACAGCGCCGGCACCGCCAGGGCCCTCTCCCACCCCCATACGCACAGGGTCCTTTCCCAGTCCACACCGGGGCCCTCGCAACGCCCGTGGGCTCCCCCGTGGCTGTTGCTGCCCCAGCGAGCGCTCATGCTGCTCTGCCACGCTGCGGAGACCCAAAGGGAGGTGCTGCAGCAGCTGCGGTCAGTGGCTTTGTCTGTCCGCCACGCCGCCGGCACAGCAAGTGTGACGTGGCACCCGTGCACGGTCAGTCTCAAGCCCACGTGGGCTGCCTCGAGCATTCAGTTTACCGGCAGGGCCGTGCGCAGAGCTGCTGCAGGAGTGCAGCGACACTTCACCGTGTCCTACTTTGCTGAACCGACCCATCCTGCAATGAGGATCAGTTATGTGTTTTTAAAACCATTCATCCTGACCAACACAGACAGGCCAGGAGAGCTGAGAGCTAGAGCAGAAAGGCTCTAGCCACTCTCTTAGCTGGGCTACAAAAGCTACTCAAAGCGGAAAAATGCCTCCCTGTTAATAATCAAGCATGATCAGAAATAATCCCAATGTGATCAATGCAAACACACAACTGTGATCGCACAAATTAATTCTCATCATTCAGTTCCCCACACCCTACAGCGAAGCCCCTTTTCCACATGCAGAAGCATTGCTGCCTACAGCATCCAGAAACCTCCCTAACAAAATGATGAATCCACAGCAGGGGAGGAGGCAGGCGTCCAGCCCAAACAGCAGGGAAGCCCGAATAGCCCCAAATTCCCCTGCTGCAATTTGGTCAGGACAGAGGGCCAGCTCACATCTGTTTCCAAGAAGCACTGTGGGATCTCGTTACCACCAGCTGTCCTGTGCCGGCCTGATCCACACAAAACTGGCTCCTCCGCCTGCACGGAGCTCCTGATGAAGCCAGTTTCTTTGCAAGCACATTGCTGAGAAATCGGGAAGGGTGTCTAGATAAAGCTCAGCTGTATGAACAGCTCTCAAAATGCCTGGGATGCATCCAGCTGGATTAGGAATCATGACACACTACCAGGAAGATGACCAGTTTCCAGAGGAGGGCGGCCCACGCGCAGGGGTACAAACAAAAGGCTTGTTTGCTCGGGCGGCTCCCACCTGCCTGGCACGTATTCTTCTGTGTTTCAGTTCATGTTTTCTTAGCTGGTGCAAAAGCTGCACGTAGAAGTGCCTGATGAGCCCCGGTTCCATGCATCGCTGCAGTGATTCAGCCCGTCCTTCTCGTTGCGTTTGCATTTATTAATCGGACTGAAGCAAGGCGCCAACTCCTGCCATAGCTGCATTTTCACTGAGCACCAGATCGCGGCTCACAGGTCACGTCTGCTGTGTTTGTATCTGGCTCTGCTCCTCTGCCGCTCCTGCTACAGCCCCGCGTGGCACTATTATCAGTCTGTCTGCCCTGTTCTCCCGAACGGATCCGTTTGCTCATACTTCCCTTTCTAGCATGAAAAGATCAGTGTAAATTGCCAAGGCCTATTTAGTTCCAGGGAAATCGCCCTAGGGACCCTGATCAAACCCACGCCAACCCCTGCTGCTCAGGTACTATCAGAAACATGAAAGGCAGATGCCAGCGCCCATCATACCAACTCCCCCCGTGTAAAGGCAGACCCGCAGCTGCTGGCACGGCCCTGCCCAGGGTCGCAGGAGCCGACCTGCCCTGCTCTTCCACAGGAAGTCATGAGTGACAGCTCACGGGACCAGTTCGTAAAGGGGCAGGAGAGGCATGAAGCAACAGCCCAGGGCCAGACCGGGTCCCAGTACTGGCTGAGCTCTGCTCCTGGTCCAGGCAGCCACCCCTCTCCAGCCTGGGCCAGGTCCCCAGTCTGCAAGCTGCAGCTTCTCCGTTCCTGGGCCGGGAGACATTTTCCTGCCCAATGCTGAGACGAAGGCCAGGGCTGCGTGCATGTTATCCATCTGTCTTCGCTGCATGGCTCTGTGTGAAGCCTGAAGTGTGAGAAGGTGCTGTCTGAAACAGTCAGCTTCTGCACACGCACAGCTGCAGCCCTCGGTCAGCACGGCAGGGCAGCCAGGACCTCCAGCACGGAGAGCCTGAGCTTCTGCAGCACACATGCATCCATGCACACTTGCACATATGTACATGCACACACACGCACTCATACCCAGCATTCACAACCCCATCAGTGCAGGGGCCTGAGCAGAGAAGCACAACCCAGCAAGACGTCTGCTCAAATCACAGGGATGGAACAAGGAGGCAACAAATGACTGCTGAGCCGAGCCTGGAGATGGATGCCTGTCCGGGCACTGGCTTTGTTCCCTATCCCTTCGACCTGCTCCATCCAGCAGCACGGAGCGGGAGCTCCCCACGCTCGGCGCTGCCTCCAGCCGCCTGTTTGCGCTGCGAGGAGGGCGGTCTGGCGGCCAGAGCCCCAGGAGGTGACCCAGCGCTGCCACGCTGTCTGGGGAGCGTACGCTGCCTGCCAAACTGCTGCCGTCAGCTAGACGGATTCAGGCCTGGACCTGGCCGGCATTCACCTTCCTCCTCCTCGGGCCAGGAGGCCTGAGAGCAGCTTCACCAACACAGGCAGGAAGGCAGCCTGGCTCGGTGCGTGGGCGCTTCTAGCCCACAACAGAGGCATCGCCGCGCCGTGCTTCCCAGTCAGGTTTGTGCTGCAGGACCCAGGATACGAACTCCCGCAGCCTGAGCCCTTCTCAGCACCCGCCCTCCCTCCCAAGCCCCTTCAGCGTAACGATCAGGATCAGGCCCAGAAAGAGAACGAAACCATTCGAAAGGCAAGCACTGGGACCACAGACAGGCTCTCTGCAAATCTCAGTGTTTATTTGCTCGTGTGTCTGTGTCAATCAGGAGGTGCTTCGCATTCCCAGACTTTCCACGTGCAGGTGACACGAATCATCCTCAGGACGGTCACAGGGTGGCCCAGGGGTGCTGCTGGGTAGTACAAGGACGCTCGTCTGTCACAACAGCAGGCATCCCGCGCTTGTGCCGTGCAGCGGGAAAACGGCTGCACAGCCCAGCATTTCCTGGCCTCCTATGACACACGCCATCATCATGTAATCTCCGTGTGAAGACTGCTTTTCTGCTGAAAGCATTACCCGACATCAGACAGCAGGCCAGCTCCATCCAGAGCCCACCCGCAGGTAGAGCCGAGGCGTACAGAATACTGCCCGAGTTTCCCAGCTGCTCCTGGCACAGGAGGGCACGGGAAGGAGCGAGGGGCAGACCAGCTTGCAGTTAACTGTTATCTCACCTTGGCCTGGTGTGGAACGAAGTTTAGCCCAGAAGGGGAGACGTGCCTACCTGCGCTGCCAGCGGACTATCAACCCAGCCTGACCAGCAGTGCCAGGACCCTCCCCGCCGTCTTCTTGGCAGCTCTCCTTGGAAAAGGCACCTGCGGTGAGATACTGAGAAGTCCATTACTAGTTAAAAAGTAAACCGGCCCGATTTGGACGGGAGGCCCAAGTACACATCGTGTACTCCCATCAACTGCGCAGCATTGTTAGGAAGGTTTCTGAGGGGAGGGTGTTATATTATTTTGTAATTTCATTGTGAAATATTAATACTAGAAGAAACAAAGAGCGTCACTGAAAGCATCCACCCAGAGCTTTGTATTCAGACCCTGCAAGCACGGGCAGTGTTACGCAGCAATGGTCCTCATGACAGACAGGTGGGTAAGCCCAGCCGAGAGGCTAGCTCAGGAAGGACGAATGTGGCTCACTGTCCAACAAGAGGGCCCGTTCATGCCAGGAATGCAAGGCTATTTGTGTTGGGACACCGTTTGATCAGGGCCTGGACTGAGACCCACCAGCACATCGCCTCTGCCAGTCTGGGCTCGGTCCGTGACAGCAGCAGGGCCTTGGCGAGTGTGGCCAGCAATGCTCACCGGAGGCCCGGATCAAGCAGTAACAGCAAGAGGCCCCTGGCCTCTGTCCAGGACCCTTGTGAATCCAAGGGACCAGCACAGAGGCCCTTCATGTCGTTTGGCCCCCAGCAAGAGCAGGCCCTGAGGCATCCCTAGCCAACCTAATCTCCAGAGCAGCAATGCACAAATTTAAGGCAGCTTTCGTGCCGTGTGATCTCCCTGCCTTGACTCCTGAACACCAGCCCCTTCACCGTCTCAGCACAGCAGCCCAGCCCATTCAGTGAGCCCTAAGGCGGCTCCACCCAGCTGGGCCGGGCTGTATGGATGGCCTCTGAACCCCCTGGGAGCACCCAAATGCTGCACAGCAGCCTGGCCCAGCACAGCCTCCCGGGGGGATCCCTGCCAGGGCCATCGAATGAGCTGTGCACCACATCTCAAGAGCCCGGATATGACGAGCTCCCTGCCCGTGCCCTGGGCAGTGGTTTTGGGGGAGGATTCCCAGCTGGATGACTGCCGTCCCTGGAGGTCAAGGGCAGGGAACAGGCTGGACTGCACCTGTGCCCGAGCACAGCGCCAGCGTGGTGTGCCAGCGCTGCTGTAGCGGGCACTGGAGCCAAGCCGCTGCTTGCCTTCAACTTGTTCAAGTCTGCCTGGTAAAGGGCACCATTCGGGCTGCAGGAGATGGGCTGCAAGGTCGCACAGCTGCTAAGGGCAAGGCAGGGAAAAGACGTCAGCGGGTCCCTCTGGAAGGAAAGCAGAGCTGCCGTGCGCTCGGTCCGCGCCTGCCGGGCAGCCGCCTCCTCCGGGCTTGGCCCTGGGTCGGTTAGTGCTGCTGCGTCCACCAGGAGAGCGGGTGGCTGCAGAGCCGCGAGCGCGCGGGAAGGCCAGGAACCCGGCACTGACCCAGTTCTGGTCTCTCAAAAACGCTGCCTTTGTTTCCCGTTTTAGCTGCTCTCTTTGAATGTCTCCTGGCAACAGCACTGCTCTGCTGCCACCAGCTCTCCCGGGAAAGGGAAGACAAGATCCCATTAGGAGCCAAATTCATCCCTGGCAGAGCATCACAACCTAATTACACCAGGGAGAGGTTTGGCTCACTGTGTCAGCCTTCCCCTATCTCCTCCACAGCCAAAAGGAAAATACCTTTGAACACTGCTCAGGGCAGCAGGGAGCAAGACGGAGCAAGGAGCGGGGAGGACCCGGAGCCAGGCTGGTATCAGGCTCCCGCCACACGGGCACGGCTCAGGCTCTGGCAGAGGCAAGGGGCTGGACCCTGGGCTCGGGGGCCTGTCTCCAGCTGTCACTGCTCAGCTCTGGGATCTGAATAAACACAACGGGGAGATGCTTTCAGGCCTGCTGCGAGCGTGGGTCAGCGGATGTAGAGCCAGTCAGCAACGGCAGTGGGAAGGTGCGCCATGATGTGTAGCTTTACCCACCAATAGGCCGACATGGGATTGTAACGGTTGTAAGGGCGCTTCGAAACGAGAGCATCTGTGATGTCATTTAGGACAAGAGACATGTCCTTCAGGCCACTGCCCACAAAGGACTTCATCTGGGTTATCTGGTGAGTGATGTAGGCCTTCCCGTAGTCCTCCTGAACGGTCTTGCTGGCCCCACGCCACAGCTCCTCTCCTCGGGCGTCCACGCCGTCCCGGGTCAGGATGCCGGTAGCAGCCATGAAGTTCCCGGGCTCGATGAGGATAACTCGGACTCCCCAGCGGTACATCTCTTGCCGGAGGCAGTCGGAGAAGGCGGACACCCCAAACTTGGAAACGCAGTAGCAGGAGCGAGACGGGCTAACGATCCGCCCGTACATGCTCGACACATTCACCACACGGCCTGCAGCGGGTAGAGGAAGGGAAAGGAGATGTCCTGCGGCTAGGTGGGAAGGACACGCAGACAGTCTGGCGGCGGGCACGGCTGGCCACAACTCCCAATTATTTGCATGCATCAGAAAGGGCCGGTTTGGCAGAGGGGAAACGCTCCCGAGGAACCGCTCGCTTTCAAGCAGGTTCTGGCAAAACCCAGGCACCGTGCTGGAGGTACCTGGCCTGCCTCGCTGCCTGCCAGCTCTGAGAGCAAGCTGCTGGGCCCTGAGACTTGCAGGGTCCCCACTCCCAGGGCCGTTTCCCCGCGCTGACTGCCCGGTACTCTGGGAGCCCGGGCTGCCCGGCGTCCTGGGCTCCCAGAGCGGGACTCCCCGGTTTAGCAGGGGGCAGAGTCTGTAGCAGGGAGCCCAGAAGCCATGAAAGTCCCAGCTTGAGAGGGGGCTTGATCTCAGGCTACAAGGCTCTTCCTGGTGTGCGACTCCTGGAGATGCCCTGACTCCCTGACCGCTCCTCAAGGAGACCCCAGGCCCCACGCAGCCAGATGCTCTTTGGAGAAGGGACCGAACGAACAGCACATGGTTTTTGTTTCATTAGTAATGCTCAGAATTTCATTTCCATGGAAAAACTCAAAAACTCTCGTTTTCATTCTGAGCCAGAAAGAAAACTTTTCAGAAACGTCCCCCGGAGCAGACGTGCTGAGCTTTGAGCAGCTCTAGAGACAGGATAACACTGATCCTCATGTCAAGAGACATGCTGTCCGCCCTGTCCCGGGCTGCGACTGCCCGTGGGAATTCGGCCCTCTGTGCTCCCCATGTCTATGCCCACAACAGGCATGGGCAACCCCATCCCTTGTCTTAACCTGCCCCAAATTTCCGTCCTGCACCTCGGAGACAGCCCTTTCCATCTCCTCAGTTCCTCGTTTAGTTGTGCCGTGTTTCATCCCTGGGCGTCAAGCACAGATGGACAGAGGGGATCAGAAGCAGACTCAGCCACGTTCGTTTTGGGCACACCGCTGGGGATTTCTTAGGAACGGGGAGGTCAGTCTGCTCCAGAGCCCTCAACGTGCCTCCAGTTCTCCGTCCTGGGCAATGGCTCATATTGACCTCAGGGCGACCAGGTGGAGCTCACTAAAATAAACTTTAAAAACACTATATAAAAAGCTAAAGCGAAGTGTAGAAGAGACCCCCTTTGCTTTGCCTAAAGGCTCAGGCAGGGCTGGTTCAGGTGCATTAAGCACTTCCAGGCATGATCTCTGTCGTGAGCCTTCTTGCCCTCCC